CCTTAGCTCTCAGTACAACAAGATCTAATAAATTTTTTATCACTTATCACAGCACACTCATTTACTAATCATCACTAGCAGTAACACTGTTTTTCATCTTAGGAATAAAATAGACAAAACGCATACTGGTGTTCAATGCCAACATTTCTGTTTCAAACCAAGTTGCTTTTGTACCAAAGTGATGTTGCTTGTCCTCCCTTGGTCTCAGGTGCACCACTTCTCCACTGTCATTTCAGACTTGCTCCTTTTCTTTTTACTGTCATTAGACCTGAGTTCCTTTGAGAATTGCACTTACCAACTCAGCCCAACACAGACAGAGGTGCTGCCTGTGTACCAGGGCTCTTTGCTGTGAGAAGCCAACTAGCTCAGGGCCTGCAAAATCAGTGACATCTATGACTTCAGGAAAACTCACCTATTATGCACCATTGATGCACAGCCCCTGGAAGCCCAGGATCATGGATGCTCAGGCACCCTCAGGGCTTCTGATGGATCAGCTGTGGCAAACCAGGGCAAAACACAAGCAGGTCCACCAGGAAAAAACCGAAGAACTTCAGCAGATATTTTCACTCTCCAGACCTGGAGTACAATGCAGCAAAAACAGATTCTTCCTTTTTACTTTGCTCCTGCTGTCCACTGAGTGGGCATAACTTAAGCATGTGTGTTATTTCAGATATAAAATCTGGTGGCTCACCTTGGCCAGCAAGCTTTCAGCTGTACTACTTTAACATTGATACTGTTGTTTCTGGCCTTTCTAGAGAAATAAAGAATATGAGTCCATACACAGAGCAGAGATAAATTTTGCACTACATGACTTCAAGCAGAAGCTGAATTCTTCAGGAACCTGAGTTCCCATAAAGTCATGAGAATGGAGAAATACTAGGTTACAAATGCTGCTGCACTGAGCACTGTGAAGTACAGAATAGGTACACTGCCTAATTTCTAGGTAAATCAACTGCATGCTTTTCTTCCAGCCCCCAAAACATACAGACTCCTTTAGCAACATCAACACAAGCAGTCCTAAACAGCCTGGTCATTTAGGACTTACATTTAAATCCTACAAAAATACTTAAGGGACAGAAATGTTAAAATGAAAGAAAATATTTGAGTTTAGATTAGCATCCTCAAACAATGATGCACAAAAAGGGAAATCCCATCTCAGATTCTTGACCTGTGTGTTAACAGCACAAGTACAATCTTCCTCATGGTGCTGATTTACAAGTGAAGTGTATGGTGATGGAGCTGAAAGGGGCACAGATCTGCACTAAAGAGAACAACACAGCACTGAAGTCATTATGACATAGGAAGAAGGAAATCCATGCTCCTTCTATCTATTACTCCTTCCTCTACCTATTACCCAGGTATCTGGCAATCGCCAAAAAAGATGTCCCAGCAGATGCTAACAAAGGGATTAATCAGAGAAGCTTGTACCAGCATGTGACCCTCTGGCTCATACACAATGTGTTGCCTCTACAGAAGACTGGTCAAATCATTCACCAGCTCTGCATTACTGCTGGTGGAACAGCGGAAGGGATGGGCAGACAAGAAAATCCACTACAAATGAGTTAGGCAGAGTTTTTATCAAATGACTCAGAGTGTCAAGTGAATAACAGGGATTACTAAAGTACAGACACTGTTGCATGAGGCCATTTATATGACTTGTGCCCACCAAGGATGCAAGAAGTAAATGAACCAAGGACTATTGACAATTCCTATTTTGCTGCCTGCAATACAAATTGGAGGAATATTCCAGAGACAGGCTGAGCCAGAGATAAAAAGTGACATGAGGCATCTGGTAAAGAAAGAGAAACAGACTCAATTAATTTTTTTTGCACTTCTTCACCCCCAGAGAAATTGAAACAAACTGATTGCTAAAGGCTTATCAAATGGGTCTTATTGTTCCAGTGGTACTGCTTATTCCCCTCTAGAATCAGAGTTTTCTGCATGACTTAGGCTGTCTGGAAGCCCAGCTCTTCATAGCCACACATGAATCACTTGACACTAAGGAGCATCTCTTTCCACTGGCCAGACGTGGGCTGGCATGAACGTCAACTGAAACCCTGGCAGGACTTTTCAGAGACCCCAAACTAACTACAGAAGCCTGAATTGTTGTTATTCCTCCTAATACTCCAGCAATTAAATGGGATGAAGTCCTAGGCTCCCTCACCAGGATTTAGGCACTAACATGCCAGAACATCATTCAGTTTGTGTACCAAGAGAACACCAACATTGACAAAACCCAAGGCTTTTGCAGCACTTTTGATCTGCAGATCCAGAAGCTTTCTGTGTGAATGTCCAAGTCTTACCTCCATTTCACAGATGGAATAAAAGTGCTAACACAAGGAGGAGTGGTTCAGTAGTATTTAAAATCTCTCTTGCATGGGGCACACAAGAGAAATGGGGACTCACCGATCATATCAGTGGAGTAAATCACCACAAACTCCCAGAATCTCAATACACGTCTACTGTCAAGTCCACTTGACTTGCATTTCTCATATCTGACAAAACCAAGCTCCTTCAGCTTCAAAATACTTTAGAGTCGAGTGATACATATGTTGAGTAACAAGAGACAGTGGACAAATGATAAATAGGTCAGATTAAAAGGTGATCCAGTGAGCAAAGGGGCAATGGTACCATCTTCCAGCATGGAATAGATCAAGCCCTGTGAAGCAGCAGCAACATGAGTCACTGGCATACATAAAACCTGTGGCCCGTACTTTGCTTCTGGATAAAAACCTCTTCAGGAATGGATAGTGCTACTTTCACTGACCTCTTTTCTCCATCAGAAGTCAGTAGGTAAGGGAGGATCTTAAGTGCACACATTCCCCTAGCTTTTTGCTAGCTTATTTTGCACAAACCTTATGGGACAACCCCAGGAAGAACCATGCCTTGAATGCAAGAATTCCGCTGAACTATATGTTACACTGGTAAAATACTGGTAAATCTAGCATTTTCTAGTATGAGCCAGCAATAAATGAATACCTTAATCTTTTCTCAAAAAGGTACCTTCTTTGATAAGGTTCATGAGCGCTTTCAGCCATTAGGGATCTTTTGGTCATTGCTAAAAGCCTACTTAATGAATTCTATTTTGTCTAGCCAAACACCTCCTGTAACTTAGACATTCTTAATCTCTTCATTGTACTCCAGGTAACTGAAAGGAAGCCCAAGATCCAACAGACTACTTACCAAAATGTTGTTCTCATCTGGCATCATGGTTTTTGGTTTTCATAAAATGTATGTGATTAACTTATTTAATAAGTCAAAAGAAAGGACACATCAGTTTTCTAAGCAACTCTTCCCAAAAAGGTGTTACTTCTCCTTTCATCAAGAAATGATGACAGTCAAAGTAGAGCCAATGTTATAGCAGCAGCTTGAATGAAAAAGCAGAAGTGTGAAAAAGCAACAAGTATGCCAAGCTCATTAGAAGCATTAGAGTAACAAAGTTAAAAATAACTTTCTCTGCCCTAATGACAGAATCATGTTCGTTTATATGTTGCAAATCTTAGTGTCCATCCCTGATGTGACATTAAAACTAGCAATACTCCTCCCTCCCAAAATAACCACCCACAGGCTTACAGACTGACTCAGCAGATGAAGTTTCTAGACCATGGCCTTTCTTTTAACTGGGGCTTATTAAAAAAATACAAAACCAACAACTACACCCCTTTCTTCTTACATTAATTATATAAAAAGTTATGAAATACTGTGCTACAGAGGCCACACAAATATTTGAAACAGAATCTTTGTTCGTTCCCACTTCTCTTTAAATCTTCTTACTGGGATTTCCTATTGTATCTAATATGATTAGTAGCTAGAAAATCTCAGCCTCGACTTTCTCCCTGAACCCACTTGTTTGCTACAGAATTTGCCTCAGCTCTGTCTTACTGCCATAACACTTCCAGTCTGGTTAAGTTAGTAAGCTACTGAAACTCTGTGGATCAAGTGGGATCATTATGGAAACAGGGCAGGAAAACACCACTTCCCAGGCATGTTTTAAAGCCAATGAATGTGTTACAGGCTTCTCACACTGGATGTGCTCGGGAGTTACAAACGTGCCTCCTGAACTCAGAAGTGTCACACAGCAGGTCAGGATTTCCCCTGAATTACCTGCACTCTGTGTAGCAGAGCTGCCAAACACCTCAAGGATCTGTTCAAAACTTCACATAATTTGAGGGAGTTTGAAGCAAGGTTCCTGATGCAAAAGGGCAGGACTAGCTTTAAGCTGTGTTTGCTCCACTTCACATTTCCTTCATTCCTCAATTGCCTTTGTATGTCTTTAGAAAGATTTATTCTTGGGCATATTTAAAGCATATTAACCTATGCTTCCAGAAAGCAAGTGTGCTCATAAATTGTTTCACAGAAGATAAATCACTTTTGTCAGTTACCAACTCTTCCCTCTCTGATTTTTGCTATAGAGTTTACCAGCCTCTGCAAGCATCCAGCAAAAAAAAAAATTGCAAACTTGCTAAAGGAATTTTTAAAATCACTTCCTTTAACCAAGTTAAAAAGAAAATCCCACCAAAACACCAAAGCCTCAGATTTCTGCTCTTGACCTATCATAAGGGAAGAGCACTGAAATCACACCACGCTGCCACAGCACTATAGAAAATCACTGAAGAATACCAACAAATGTAATAGACTATTTCCCTTATCAGAACTGTTTTATTGGCTCTTAAACTTAAGAAAAGACTGCAAATTCATAAACCACATCCTGGAGCCCTTCAGATCACACTTACTCATCTCTCTCCATATGAAGAGCTCATATTTGGAAGTGAAATGCCTATACAGGCACTAATAATGTGAAAATCTATAGAAAAGTATATGCTGACAAGGGGAAATGTAGAAATAACCTTCAAATAAGCTTTTCTTTGATCAAATTCTACTTTTCATTTGAAATTATTATTTCATTCCCAGACTTCTGAAGTGGTCATTTTATATTCCAATTCAACTAGTATAGGTTTTATAGGGAATATTTTTTAAGTGAAGAAAAAAAAAACGTCATTACTGTCCAGTGCTTTGGAGTTTCTCCATTTGTTCCAGATTTTTCATTCTGAACTTTTCCACTCCCTACCATTTCTTCTGATGCTCTACTGTTACCATGTTATTCCCATGCCATCAGAAAAGTGAGGAAGCAAAGATTTAAAATAAAATTGCTCATGAGGGGCAATGCCTTTCTAAATTTCCTTGCTGTTCTGACAGTTCTCTTTCTTGTCCAGTTTTCTGCAGTCAGGTTTAACTTTAAAAACGCAACTGTGATTTCTTCTTCATAACATGTATATAATTGTTCAGTTGTTTTCATAAATGTGTTTTGGAGGTAGATGAATAGCAACATCATTTCCTAGTATAGCCTGTCATGTCACTTTTAACTTTGCAGTTGAAGAAATGCATTTAGCCTTTCAAAATGTTATTTATTGATTTATTTTTAAGTTTTAGCAGAAGATAAATAAATTATATGTTACGATCAAATAGTGTCACAAAAATTTCCTTGTGTTCCTTTCAGGGAAACAAAGGCCTTCCCAGTAGTCACTGACTGTTCACACTTGTTGCATTTGGCTGTCAGAGACAAACCAGCCTGGCTTCATAGCAGGCTAGTAGGTGTTAATTGCTGTAACCTTCCCTTTGAAATCCAAATCCTACTTGTAAGTTCTATTTAAGACTTACTATTTTAACCTTTTTTTAGGACCAAGTAGAATCTCGTACTTTTTTCTTCTTTCTGTGTTTGGAGAAGTTTGGTGATTTTTCATTTCCCTGTACAGAATCTAAAATACAACTTTAGGAGGACTCAAACACAACTATTTCATAGAGTCAACTGTTTTCTAGTTTATTTTGCTTCCATTACGAGATGAGACCACTTTTCAAACAGCCCAATTAGGATCACTTTAAGCAAGTGACCTTATTATAAACTAGATGGGACCCTAAGGATGGACAGCAGCAGCAGCTCATGGATTAATCATTTAGGAGGCAACTGGAAACTTTTTGTCACCCCCAGGGTAACTCAGTGACAGCAGCACTGAGAAACACAAGTCTCTTGTCCTGCCATACAACCTGAGCAGCTCCTTTCAGCTGTTGGCCAGAGCAGACCATACTCTTCAGAATGACTGATCAGAAATAAATATATGGGGCAGTGTGATGGGTGCTGAGCTTTGTGGTTGCCAAAGGAAAGATGACACACTGAAAGAAATAATTTTAAATTGCCCATACAGATCACCAAGCTATGAATTAAATGTGTCTAAATTAATCCCCCCCTCCAAAAAAAGGAGAAATTATTATTTTTTTTAGTTTTATGAAGAGTTGGCACATTGACCAAATCTGTGCACTGTAATAATATCAGCTATCTATGTCTCAAGGGGAAACTTTGCATTTAGTCAAGTTGTAGACAATTAACTAATTACAGATTTCAAGGCTGTTTTACCTCTTCTGAGAGACTAACAATTTATCAGGAGCATATTTAATATTTTGTAGGCCAAAGAGGAGGTTGGAGAATTCAATAATTGTAATTAGATATATGTAGCTGCACTCATTAAAAGGATAAATCTAATAAAACTGCATTAGGGGTTTTGTGGGTTTGGTTTTTTTTTTTTTTGTTCTTATTAAAACAATTCTTACAACTTTAAAGGCAAAATTTCTGTGTTAATAAACTGGGAGTTGGGGAAAGGGGGTAAAAAATCACAGTTTGCATTTAAAGCAGGATGAAGTAGTAACATTTGACACTTTGGATATTACCCACCAGAATCTCAGCTGGAATAAGCTAGGGTTAATAAAATGAGTTTGATGAAGCTTCTCTGATGAAAGCAGATTGAATTACATGTTCCAGCAACTGGCATAAAGAGGCAGCATTACCTCTAATTCTGAACAATGATATCTTCCAGGGAAGCCCAGCTTACATTACTATCACCCACTTTTATAAAAAGGAAAACCAGGACAAAGGGGGCCAAAGGGGATGTAAGCAAAATTTTACAGTCACAAAATTAACAGACTCTGTTTAGCAGCCAATTACCAGCTCAGTAAAGTTCCTTCTTAATACTTTTTAGGTCTTATTTTAACTGTGATAATAATCTATCTCAGTTCTTTAATTAAAATCTTAAACCAAGTATGCACAGATTTTTATAATTGGAAAGACAGATAATTTTTCCTTGGAAGAGAACTGCTACTGCTTTACATATATTTCATGGTAAAAAAACATTGGAAAAATTCAAGACTGATGATAATTAATACAGTAGTTTGTATTCCACATATTCTTTAACTCTGCCTTACTGAATCAATGCATTTTCCTTTTTTGCTGTAAGAGATCCTTATTTTTCTTAATACTTGAACACTGACGACATGCAATTATCTAGTACTTGTTCCCTTCTCAGGAGCCTTGTATAGCAACAGAGACTTCTGAGCTATGCTTGTGATAAAAATCATTAATTCTTACAGAATACATTATTTCAGAGTCCAAAGGAAATTAGCAGCTCATTGTTATTTCCTGCTCACCTCAAAAATGCCTGGAAAAAATGAACAAACAAAATCACTATCCCATAATTTACCAAAAGAAAGCTCTTCAGAGGGATTGGAGTGACTAGAAACACAGTGTCTAAAAATATTCAGCCTAGTTATTCTGTCAAAGTGAGGGAAATGTCAGCTGGGACACTGAGACTACAAAATGATTATCCATTATCATGTGACTATTTTGTGTGTTTTTACCTTTTCATCTACCTGTTTCCTCCATGGGTTGCAGCTGGAACACAGCCCTCAACAGGCACTTTATGGTGCAAGTAGCAAACACCTGCACTTCTGAATGTGCTGGTGGCTTTGCCATGGACTGTAAGGGTGCGAAATGAGGCCATTAATGTCTGATAAAATGGAACATTTCAGTCTGTCATCAGCCTCATCCTAAGAGCAACTAAAAAAATGACTTAAATGCTTTTGACTGTTTATGATTAGCTCCTCTAAGGGTGACACAGTCTAGCAATACATCAAGGCATATGGAAATAGGCTTGTGACTAATCAGTAAATTATAATACACCTCAGCTCTGTGCACAAGAGACCTTTGTGTTCTTCATCATTCATAAACTTAACTGGAGCAATGTAACAAAACTAATTATATTCTTGGCATCATTCTTCAGTGAAGGCTGGGAAAGTGCTTATTCTCTATTTCTTTAAATTTATTATCCAGCTCTTATAAATGAAATTAAGTAACAGGTTTTCTTCTTGTCAACTACTGGTAAATGGATATAATATTTGACATAAGATTTCATATCTAGCCAGCTGGACGACTTTTTCCCATATTTACACCATCAGAATACCTGCTTCTCCATGTCTTTGTCTCACTCATATTTTACATATATGTGTGTATATATACAAAGTCATAAAAGTAGGCATGATTGTATTTTTCTCTAAGACCATACATAAAATACTCTACTGTTTGTATGAATCGACAGGAAGTATCTTCTATGATACATACACATTCTTATAACTTTTAACTTCTTTGCATGTAATAAGTATATTTTATCAGTTGGAGACACTAGAGAATCCCACTAGAAGCAGAAAAGAAAATGTACCTTAAGTCTGCCATTGTATAAACATTATATAAACAGTTTACAAATGTATATGATGAGATGTGGCCCTCTATGACTGTAGCTGTTGAGACACTTGGTTATTCAGTGCTTTCCTGAATGGGTGGAGAGCATAAGAAAACCCCAAAATATTTCAGGTATTTCTTTCCAGTTGATGTGCAAACATCACTCTCAGATCAATATATTTCTAAAAAAGTACCTCTGTCACTTGCTATTTCACCAGTATTCAAAGATTCTGTATACCAGTAATTTTCTTTGAAATACAAGTTTAGGATGGGGTAACTTTGTGTCGATTTTATGATTCCCAAGCAGATCATCTTTCTTTAGATTCAAATGATTTTTTGCCTAAGTTCAGGCATAAACCACAAACCCACTTTTAGTTTTTTAATTGCCCAATAATTATGATGGTCACTGGATAGCGGAGACTGCTACTGGGGAACAAGTAACAAGTCACTTGTGAGAGCAACCAGTTACATAATCACAATTTTTACTTTCTTCCTATTGAAGCCAAGGCAAGAGCAGGGCCAGAAGTCTGGTTCCACTGCAAAGGGAAATGTCAGCACTTGGAATTGAAGACCCTGTAGTCCTCTCTCCTCACTGGCTTTCTTCAGAAGTTACAGTCAGAAGCCTGCCATGACCTTTAAGGCTTCCCAGGAGTGAAGGCTCAGCAAGGAAAGCTTTATATGGAAAACAGAGGCCAGGTCCAACCACCCGTCAAAAGATGGTGGAGAATGGCACAGCAGGAGAAACCTGACTGACCTGGCTACTGACCATGGGGCTGTTCCACTTCCCACATGACTGAATGCCAAGGACAGGCTACATAAAGTCACTCAGTGAGAGGGGAAGAGAGGAGCAGGTGGAAAGAAGCGCTTAGTATATGTACAAGCTCAGCTCCAAAGACACCTGCCAGCACCTTGCACCACTGCAGACATTTCCCAGGCATTTCCAGAGTGAATCCAGGCTCATAATACACCAGCAACTAAACCTGACCCCTTTGTTTTCCCTAATACACTGGTTCGTCTTTGCTTCCTCCCCACAGTACTGTGCAAACCCTTTTGTTCTGTCCTGCATCTAGCATTCCCCTGACAACTCAGACATTAAAAAAGTATGTCAATGCATGCAAAAAAAATCACCTCAAATCTGATGCATGTGTTGCCCTGCACCTGCACAACTGCTTGTAAAAGTTCAACAAAGACAATATTTTTAGTGGCACTTGCTGCCACATCCTTGTGTTTAGTTTCTCATTTGACAGAGCCTGAATATCCAACCACATACAGTGTGGAGCCATGGAAGTAGAGCAATACTCTGGTAGGTGTGCTAAGTATTATTTTACTAAAAACTTGGGGAGGAGGGCAAGGCAGGAGCTCTGACTGGCAGGTTGTTCCAAACTCCCATACCTTACCTGTGGCTCCCACCCAGCAGCAAAAAATTCATATGGACAAACACGTGGACCTCACATCCTTTCAAAGTAGTCCCCTACTGCTAACCTGGGCATATAAAGGCACAGCTGGTTTCTTGGTCTCTCCCTCAGCCTTCTCCTCCTACTGCGCACTCTAGCAACTCATATAAATTTTTCCATTACAAGGGCCTTCCTATTTAATTGCAGAAGCATTGGCAGGGATGGCAGAAATTTTTCATTAGCCTCTTGGCGAAGGACAGAGTCAGAACAGAGCTGTTTTCCCAGACTGGATATCAAGGGAGGAAACTCCATGGAAGTTTTTATTATTATAAAAACGGGGATCCCCAGGCTAGAGTCTCTTTAATATCTTTGCAGCTACTTTTCCTACTGACAGCCAAAGCTATGGTGTCTGTTGCTTCCAGAATTATGAATAACTATCAGTTATTCACAGTCCTATTTTCTATGATCAGTACAAAGATCATCTACATAGCACAGGCAGCAGAGATGGGAACAGCTCAGCAGCAACAAGCCCAAGGTACAGTCTCTAATGGCATGCCCTGTCTCTGTTTAAATTTATTATAATTGCAAGAGAGAGACATTACATCCTTTAAAGCTGTGTTTATAGAAGAATAGTAATGTCTCACAATGACCCAAAACAATCAGTTACTTGAATATGCCTAACTTGTTTTTTTTTTCTTTTTGCTGTCCATCCTATAATAAAAATAAACATCCAAGATTTTGAAGCTGCTGCAGCTGGCAAGACAGAACACAGAAGAGAGAATTATCCTCCCATTACCTATGCTTAAGTATATGCAGTGTAATAATGTTTCAGCTTCTGCTGACTTCCGAAGTGGTGGTTCCCGCTACATTAGTGGGATAACACACCACTTCTCCAGCGTCACAACACAGATGCTCTGACGCATCTGGCAAGACTTCACACTGATGTTTGTAAAACCTGTGTTATGACTGCCGCAGGAGAAAACAGTGTTTAATGTTAATGCTGCTTCCTAGAAAACAGTTAAAATTCAGTAAGAGAACATATGCAGGAATACTACAGAATGTTTGTCAAAACACTGTCGATACAAAAAAATAGATGCAATGCTGAAGGAAACACGTCCTACATCAGTTACAGAGAACACTGTGGATCATAAAAACATCATTAAATCAATAAGTAGTTTACTTTGCATCAGTGAGCTCTCAGCACATCTGTATGTTCCAGGAAACTCCTGCCATGTTTGTGTCCACTTCCTTAGGCAGCCACACAGCACTGCATTGCTTGGGAATTTAGCAGTGCCAATAAACATGGACTAAACATGTATACTTACTCACAAATTTAAGAAGCAAAATGAATTTTATTAATGCAAGTCTCTCTGTTGCCGGATTTGATTTTTAAAGTCTTCATTTGGGGATTAAGCTATTTCAAAACATTATTTAAGGTCATTATAAATGAAAAGACAAATCAAAGCATCTACAAGAAAATCAACGCTCCCCCTATGCAGTCCATATAAATATTTTGCTGAGATACTTTTGTCACAAGTTCAGAAAACCAAAACTAAAAATTTTTGTCATGTCCACAGCATCTCAGGATTCAATATTGTAAGGTGCTCCCCATCCTATGATTAAATCACACACTACTATTATGAACTGAAAGAACTGCATTGCAAGGACAGTGATGCACAACACCAGGAATGAAGTCATCTCACTATAGTATCATGCACGACAAAGATATGGGTATCATCATTAGAAAAGGTAAAAAATAAACCAATAAGCAGATTTACCTGAAGTAGTAACTGTGTTCTATTCCTGCTTTGTTTCATATTCCTTTCCGGATAAAAAGCCCTAAAGTATATTCCCCACTTTGCACTAATATTTTATTCATAGCATATGTACTCCTCATTATTAAGTGAAGAATTGTAAGGTTTTCAGAAGGAAGGCAGAGGGTGGGGGAAACAGAAATGCCCCCATTCCCAGCCGAACTCTTAGGCTGCAGGTGGGCAGGAGGATTGTGCTGGAGGGAAGGCGCAGTGTTTGCCGCTCCTCTCCCCAGCACACGCTGCTCGCGGGCAGAGAAACAGCCTGCAGTGGAATAACGGGAGAATTTCTCCAGTGCCCGTATAAGCGAAGGAGGGAGTGTCAGGGAAAGCAAGGGAAGAAAAGGCTCGGAAAGCTGTTTCTCTCTTCAGCTAAGGCATGCTGTATGTCCCTCATTGACGGGGGTCCCACACAAGGATAGGCACACCAAAGATTTTATGGCTCTGAGATACTGTGCAAGATCTAAAACAGAGAGCTGGCTAAAATAACTAACATTAGGGAATGCAAAAAACATTACATTTCCCATAGCAATATCAACACCTCCCTGTTACAGCTCCTGTAACGTGATGTACATTTTGAGACAAACAGCAATATGATGTGAGATAATATCTTTGGCCTGAAATCTAATTGCAAAATCAGTCTTGCTCCTACCCCTCCTCAAAATTCAAGACTTTAAATTTTGCTAGAATTCACAGATACCATTTCCCCCAATGTGTTCTTTACTATTTTCTCCCCTCTGATGATGAACAAACAACTAAGACATTAACCCTTGCAGGTTCTTAGACAGTCCTGTTTACAGCCCATTACTGAACAGTAATTTAAGTGACCGAAGAGATGAAAAATTACTCTGCGTACAAATAGCCAGGAAATCTACACAGCATATGTGCCAGACAATCAGATTTTTATCAGATATGTGCAGGGCTCATCCAGCCATCATGTAATTGGAGTGTAAAAGACCTGCTGAGCCTCAGGCTGAGCATGCGGGTTATTCGTCTGGCATCCCCTGCTGCAGCTCCCGGGCAGTTCCAGGGGCTGAGCTGACCTACAGTGTATGGCTCTGTCACTTTTCTCCAGCCCTGGGGCTGGATCCTAGACATCCCCCACATGTGATCTCACAGGCAGCCTGACTACAAATGCACCTTTTGCATTAAACAACAGGAGCCAAAATGTTTGCTTTCATATATATTATTGCTAATAGCAGACTTTCTAAGGGAACTCTAATTATTAAATTACTACAGTCTCTTGTCCATGCTGACTTTAATGACTAGCCCTAAGGGATATGACCCAAATTTTCCCTCACCCATAGCTTTAAAACAACAATATTAGTTACAACTCGTTGTTTTAAAAAAAGCAATGGTAATGATTATTGTATTAATAGTATTCACGATTATATAGTAATGACTGTATTTTGTACTCCAGTAATAATAACTCAGAGAAGTTTCAGGTAGAATTTTCATCCCCATGTGGTTTATATATGCTAATTCCTATGCAAATTAAAAACACACTGACACATCTTATTATAATGCTTCTCCGTTTCGAACATGTATTTGGTGAAATCATCACAGTCATATTATGCTTTGGAAGATGAATATATCCCAGCCTGTATTGTTGTCACGACAAGAGATGAGATATGGATCCATCATGGGAGCGTATCCTCCACTTTGGGAGGTGGGTGTTCAGTACCACTAAAATGGCATGGACAGTGGGTGGCAGCAGGTTATAATTTCTTCCCAACATTATGTAATTAGTTCTGTCAATCCTGACCTTTTAAAAACTCAGAGTATAAGAAATAGAACAAACTGATGTATTTTTACTTATTGCTTCAATATTCTAGAATTTTAGAATCATATTTTCTGCTCCAAAGAGCTGAGCATCACAACTATTTTTAAGAAAGAAGCTCGAGTTTCCATTACTGTAGAAACTGAAGCTTTAAGGGGAATCACAACAAGATCCATAATAAAATCATGACTGCAACTTCACAGAGCACGTGAAGAAGAAACCCCCTAATGACATCATGCTGTCACTAAACACAGACTTCTGACAGCTTACGAGGAAGGAACAGCAAGCAGTGTGAGTGTCACAGTAGTGTATGACAGATCCTGGCTGGGACACTTCTGGATGGGGAAGGGGCTTATGAGGGGACTGACACACAAATATCAGCCCAACAGGCAGTGCCTGCTCTGGTGACAACTGTGAGAAAAGGCAAACACAATTGCTGAAACATCTTTCAAAAGAAGAGCACTGCCTCTAGGCTGAACGGCTCTGACAAGTCAGGATTAAGGAAATCATGAGCTGCCTACCTTTATAGCAGCCAGTTAACAGAAGGTATCCTAGTTATCCTAGTCTGCTTCTACATGCAAGCACAGTACCGCACGGCTCCAACCAGCCCTGAATGAGGACAGTACTAACTATTCTCTCTCAGCTCCTGTAGATGTGGATCTCTAACTATGTGTAAGATTTTTGGCTATTCCAGACTCCAAACAGCAATACAGACAGATCACACAGGGAATCAAATATTCCAAAACTTGGTATGTGGCTCAAGGCCTGACCATGAGCATACCTTGCAGATATGGAGGACCAGCTGGTTGGCAGACCACGTGCTGACTGAGCACACCTCGCTCTTGGGCCACCTACACAAGCACAGGACATGTCACAGTCCTGTGTGAGTGACACCAGCATCAGCAGGAACAACACTTGCCAGAGTCCTGATCTAAGCCCTGGAGATGTGATAGCTCTGACACATCAAAAAGAGAAACTTTTTGTCATTATAGCTCCCTGCTGTACACTATTAACACAAGGGCCAGGAACATCCATCCCTTTGTGAAAATTAGGCTCCTCAGAAGTGGTAATACTGATGTGAATCCCTATTGTTACAGGATTGGAGACCCCAAGGGCTCCAACAAACCACAGGGAACTGTACAAACAAGAGGCATTCCTTGCCTAGGGGAGCTAATCACCGAAATGAAAAAGACAGGCAGGGAGTCAGAGGGAAAGCAGAAGCACAGAGAGGTGAAAGCAATTTGCCCAAGGCCATGCAGCCAGTCAGCGAGCAAACCAAAAATAGAGGCTGACCCCTTGATTGTCAGGCCATTGTTCTCTCCACTAGACTGAATCTCCCATGGCGAATGTGACATTGAATTGGTATTTCTGTTTTGCTGCTGTCATTTTTAAAAATAAAGCATGACGACAATGTCACTGTACTGAACCGCTGTAATCGAGGCCACACAAGCACTTTAGAAGCAATACCGTGGAGAACTTTTGTTAAGAGAAGAAAGCAAGGCCCCTGGACACAGGGACTGGAAAGCACACCCTGACTACCAGCTACTCCTCTGCCAGGAGAGACGAGGGTTACTGCAGCACTGAAGGCTCTATAAACATCAGTGCCTTTACCTGAGCAAACCCTGGACAAGAAGTGCAGCTCAAGAATGCAGCTGAGAGCAGACACCATTAGCAACTGAGAGAGGATCTGATCCTGCAGAAGACTGTATGGGTGTCTGCAGCAGCTCTCAAACTGGCAGGGAAGATTTTGCACAGAATGTGGCACTGCACATGAACTTCTGCTGACAAATGATCAAGATCCTAGCTGCTCTGGACACCACTCCAACCTGCAGGGCGCTTGTCCTTTTAAAGCACGAGTTTTCATCCCCCATAAACGCCACTTTAAATGCGGTGAAGTCTTCCAAAAGACCTAAATCTACATGTTTAAAGGGCTGCACCAGTGCCACTTCAGACATCGCAAACACAAAACCAGACTTCCACCCATGTGTACCTGAAGCAGTTTTTCAGATAACCCCAACAAGCATATGCCATAGTACTTGGAGGATTCAGCAGGAAGAGCAGCCACACATGCTGTCCTCATGGAACAGAAATTCAATTACCTACATTCCAACAACTTTTCGCAAGTGGATCAATATTTTATTACATTAATTCCAGAACAAAATCACACAGAATTCTTTCAGGTTTTAAATACATCTCCTTGGTACTACATACTCAGCCTTCATACCCCAAACTGGAAGGCAGTAAATGTTTTTCTGATCCTGAAGAAGTACAAGAAGGAGGATTCAGGGAACTACAGGCTGGTCAGCCTCACCTCAATCGCTGGAAAAGTGATGGAGAAAATTCTCCTGGAAAGTATTTAACACGTGAAACACAAAAAGGGAGTAATCAGCATGGAGCCACAAAGAGGAAATCATACCTGACCAACCTCATTGCCCTTCTCAATGAGATGACTGGCTTGATGGAAAAGCAGAAATCACCAGTAGAGTCTGAGAGTTGACTGGTTGGAAAAGCAGGTTTGCCTAGAAGGACCCTGGGGATCCTGCTGGAAAAGAAGCTGACTATGAGTCTGGAACATACTATAATGGCAAAAAAAAAAAAAAAAAAAAAAAAAAAGAAGGTAAAGCAGCATGCTGGGTTGCATTAGGATAAGCATCCTCATCAGACTGAGGAAAGTGATCCTTCCTCTCTACTCAGCACTGATGTGGATGCATCTGGAGTGCTGTGTCCAGTTCTGAGTTCCCCAGTAGAAGAAATACAAGGATATACTGGAGAAGTCCAGGGTCAGACCACAAAGATGATTAAGGGACTGGACCATCTATGGAAGATGAAGAGAGGCTGGAAGACCAGAGACTCTTTATAAGGGAGAAAAGAAGACTAGTGGAAGGATCTTATCAATGTGTATAAACACTTGATAGGAGGAAAGTAAAAAGAGGGAACTAGGCTCTTCTCAGTAATGCCCAGTGATAGGACAGGAGACAATTCAGGCAAATGAAAACACAAATGTTATATCTAATCACAGGAAAACACTTCCATTTGAGGGTGGCGGAACAGGCTGCTCAGAGGGATTATGGATTCTCCATGAAGATATTAAAAACTTGGCTGGATATATTCAGGGAAAACCTACTCTAGCTTGAACAGTGGGGCTAGATAAGATGATCCCAAGAGGTTGCTTCCAAACTCAATGACTGTGATTTGCTGGTGCTTCAGTACATAAACAGCACAGTTTGCTTGCAATGACCCAACTAGGGCAGGTGAAAGTGTATGCAAGTCTGTCCCCATTGTTTCTTGGTGTGCTTTCTCTCCTGCCAACAACAGATTGCATCAAATTGAAGAATTCAATTCCAGTCTGAAGACTTACATGTGACAAGTAATTAATTCCTTAATAAGCTGTTGTAATTCACCTTTATATCTTGTGTCCTTGTGACAGCTGCTGTGCATATGCCACATCTTTCCATCTTTTGGCATGTGAACTGCACTCATTTACCTCATTCCCACTAAAAGTGAAAATGCAGGAATTAAATTGAAGGGAAGCACGTAATTGACTTCATAATAGAAATTAGAGGAAACTACCTTACAAAAGTAATCATGTCTGGTACAAAAGTCAGAGAAATTTGCAAAACATGAGTGAAACAATACAATTTATGAAGATACTGCAGTCTGCTCTTAATACAGGAAAGTACAGACTCACATTCAGACACTGATGTATCAGAATTCTTTAAGTGAAGGAAGAAAAGTATCTTAAATACTTACCAATGTTAAACCACTCTGACTTTCATAAAATATAAACTGTCAGATTTCGGTGTACTATTAAATGTATATTATATTTAGTGCTTGCTCCTCCTTTGGGGAAAAAAGAATAAGAAAACTGTATTTCTGAAGAGTAAAAATTTTACTATTCCTAGGCAGACTTGAAAGAGAAATCAGTATTTCTGGATTTATAATGCATCTTACAAGCTAAAATATTGACTTCTGTACCATGATGACAACGTTGGTATAGCAACTGGTCTTAAGATTCAGTAAGTCAGACACTAAAACCTTTGGCAATGACAATTCTGGCTTCCTCTTGTAATCTGCACAGCATGGAAACACTTCAAAACACAATATTGTCAAACTAGAGTGAAAAGAAAAGTAAGCTTGGGAAATTAATGTTGTGTAATTTCCTGGAGAAAAAAACCAAAAAAACCCCAAAAAACTCAAAACATTAAAAAACCTAGTAAGATGGCAAAGGTAAAAAAATGAGGTTTTCCAAAAGAGATGAATTTCATAACATAGATCAATAGTGAAGTAAGGAAACTGCAGTTGTGGTTTCACTTCTGTATACTCCAAGTCCACCATATTCTTAAGTCACACATGGATTTTACTTGAGTATAGTTTTTGCACTTTCAAGTCAACACTGTTGTGTAATCAAATAAAGCAAGTAAGAGCCTTATCACAAAAACCAAATGCAAACTAAATTTTATTTTCTCACACTCCAAAGCAGACTACTGTGGCTAGTTTATGAGAAGAATTAGTGCTGGAATAGGCATACTTGGTTATGACAAAACAAAGTTCCTCAGGACTTCTGGATGTGCAGCACTCTGTTGGAACACTAGTTTCTAGCAAAAGAAAAGCTCAGTTACTCTAGGCACAAACCCAATCTGCCAGCAAGAGAGGAGAAATATGAATTTAGATTTCACAGTAAAACTTCAATATGGTCTAGTTTCCAACACCACTTTTAAATTCAGAAAAGGCAAATCTCTCCCACTACTAAATTTTCCCTTTCGTGGTTAACACTTAATTGATCATCAGGAGCAGT